GAAATTGAACCCTTAGGGAAGTAGAACTCTAAGTCTGACCATCCCTCAAAGGGAAGTTCATCATTGCTAGCTGATGTTAGGATCAAATCATTAGATCACTTACAGGGCGAACATCAAAACTTGGACACCGAGATTGGAGAAACTGACTAGAGATAATGGACATTTGGGCATTGTGTCCCACAATGCTTGTACAGGTACTTTGTCCAGATAGCAAGTCACGATACACTTATCGCCAATAAATTTAACAAGTCTTGACTTTACACAAGGAGAAATTGTTTCAGCTTCACTTCTTGGCATCTCAAAGTCTGAATGAATAGCGTTCACAACACATTGAGAGCTTCCACACTTCTGTTTATTTGTTGTTTAACGTCCCTCTCAAAAATTTTTTACTCATATGGAGACGCCACCACTTGCCGGTAGAGGGCTTCAAATTTATACCTATACTCGGCACTCAAGGTCATTGAGCAGTGAGGGATCTTTTTTCGTGCGAACACCTACTGTGACACGTGACGTGGTTTATACGGTCTCATTAGAAGGACAGGTCTCCACGTCCCGTAGTGGATTTGAACCCGCGACGTAAGGATCAGCTCCCTACTCCGCGACTCTAGAGCAGACGCTCTAACCACTACGCCACGCGGGCAACTCCTCACTTCTGAGTCACTGTCCGCTCCCTCGACGTGACCCCCTCCCATTTCTCGACCTTTTTTCTGCTTGCAGCCAGCTTTAAAGTGTTCATCACTGCCACAGATCCAGCAATGAGTGCATGATGATCCGGTGTTTGACTGCCGGCACTTCTCACAACCCATCTGGAATCTACGGGGAGTGTCTGTTTCTGACGAACTCTTTGAGGTTGCAGAACTTTGCTTCTTGATTTCTGCAATCTCCGCACGCAGCTCCTTAAGTTCAGTCCAGAGAACACCCTCTTTGACATGTTTCTGTTTCTGTTCCTTCTTGGGAGAATTTTGAGCCTCCTCTGTGACACAACTAACCTTCGCTTTGGTTAATCGTCCATTCAACTCTTTTTTTCCTGGCGACAATTGTGCTGAATTGCTGAATAAGTTCATCATCATCAACTTTAGAGTCTAAAATCGGTTTCACTTTCCGTCGTAGTGTCTCCTCGTTTAGTCCTATATATAAAGTGTGTAGGGACATCAGTGTAACAAGCTTATCATCATAATGTACCTCAGCGCCCTCTTCTTTTGAAAAAAAACCCAGGATTTTTGTTTCAGGTTGAGTAGTTTTCACAGAAAATCTTGAGGCTCATCCCTCCCTTGTGTCGAATTTGTCAGGTGAGGATAGCTGATCTCTCCTCATAGTGGGACCGAAGAATTTTTCGCAATGATGATAATGACAACTTCTCGCGTCCTACTTCTCAAAGGTAGAGTTGGTGAAATGCCTCGTGTGACCCCATCAATTATGTCAATTATGTCTGCTTCCTTGTATGATTTGCGAAGGCCGGCCTCAATCTGTCTAACAATGTTAACAAATGAGAGCTGGGTAGGGCGGTCTGAAATTTCACCACTTATTTTGAAGTCCTTGTGGCAGAAAGGTGGATGCTTGTTCTTGGTATCGATAGTTGGCGTAGGTCCTGAATCCTTTTCTGTCTTAACGGTGATTTTCTTTGGGGCCAATGCATCATTCAGTATCAATATAGCGGTGGAGTTACCGTCTTCAGTTCTCTCCTCCTTATCCAGCCATGTCAAGATGGTTTTTATTGCCAGCACCTTGTCTGCCTTCTCTGGCTCTGCGATGATCTTGTTGTCTTTTAAGATGACCCGAAGAGTCTCAACTGGTGCTTGGTACAACTTGGACAGAACCTCAAACTCTAACTCCTGCTTTTCTCCCATGGCTATGGATAATCACGGACGAGCCCCCAGATGTTACAGTGGTGAGGTACACACAACTTTACTGTACATGAGGCACCAGATTCTAACTTCTGGCAAAGAAGAGTTCAGCGAACAGTCAATAAAACAAAATTAAAGTTATCGCTCTTTGTCCATAATAAAAAAATTGATACCCCCCCCCCCCCATAATACCACACCTAACAGTAATTAATTACTCTAAATTACTTTGAAGAATGTAATTAAATACATTTCAATTACTTTAATTTTATTTTCAAAAATCTTGGAAGATTAATGCATGTACATGTAAATTTTAGGAAGGAGGTATATTTAAAATAAATAGCGTCAGATGCCTGTATATTAGTGTGTTTCATGAACACAAGTCCTATGTACATGTTTATCAATCGACCGCCTTTATGAAATTTGATTAAAAGCGATTTTCCAAGAGTCAATGAATCTAATGTAAAATACTCTCTGATTATTTCATTTTTAGGTAAGCTTAACGCCTTAACTTTCAAATGTTGACAATTTTCACACAATAAATAATACTTGAATAATAATAATAACTATTTATAGATGCATTTCAAAGATATATGTTTGGATGTTGAAATAGTGATTTAATTAAGATTTCTTTTCTGAAATATATAAATAGTAGAGCATTCTTAATTGTATTAAGGTAAGGTTTGCGACCCCCTCCAAATTTTATTTTTTTGAAATTGTACATATGTCATACATCAATTTGTTTGGGAAGAATAGCTTCATCATTTAACACCATCTTAAAAGATATTGCCCGTCCCATTTTTTGAGTAAAAGACGCCAAATTTGAGGTATTTGACGCTTTACATGTTCAATTATTTTCAATGAAAAAAATTGATTAATTTTATATATTATCATATTAAAATAATTAAAATGGCATGAATTATTTTATTTTATGCTTAATTTATCATATTATTTTATTTCTGTTACTGAAAATGTAAAAATTTAGATTAAAAAAGAGTTTTTTTTTCAACTTTCCATAATAAAGTGAAACCGTTGCCATGGCAACAAGTAAAAATCACCATTATCTATATCTACCGATTCCACAAAAATCCAAGAAATTGTTCAATGGATAATTTTCATTACAATGGACTAAAAAAATATATATGTCCCCAACACCGTTTCCATGGAAACAGAGGCTATATAATGGGATTGTACATGAAAATCAGACCTTTTTGCATTTTAAAGTAAACATTGATACAATTTTCAGAAAGTGTACTCATCAAACTAAATTTTATATGAAATTGTTTTTTTTTTGGCAGAAAATTGACCACAATAACACTCCTTCTATGCTACTAAATAGTAAATAATCAGTTCATGTGGAAAGACTCTTTGTATACATGTCCTACATAATGCACCTTTACAATATTATTGATGAAAAAGTCAATGGAATTATGTTTCAACACTTTTTAGAAATACCTGTATCTATAAACATGCTTGAGGTGTATACATGTACATGTAATTGTTCATCATGGTTTCTTAGCATGCTGCTGTTGGAAAACAAGTTTAACGTAGAACCTACGTCGTATGACGTCATATCAAGTAAATCCGTTTAGACCGTCTTTTTGATGCTAGATCCATTATGACGTCATAATTAATTTAATGTTACTTTTCCCCGTACTTTCTCCAAGAATGTCTCTTGTAATGAAGTTACACAACTGTGATAATGTGAATGGCATGCAACTATTTTGAAGGAAATCAAAAAACCTAAGAAATCTAAATAGTACAATATCTTGATAAAAATGTCTCCAAGTCAAAGATCTGTTAAATATTGTGTGTAAATTTTGTAATGTCTATCATGAAATGATGTACATTCCCTTTCATAATTATTTGTTAATTATTCATAATGGTTGGTGTATAATAATAATGATTCCCTAAAATATCTTTTTAAATAGAAAAAATTACATTTTTTGATAAATATTTACATTGTAAATCTGATACAACCGCAAAACAGTCAGTTAATAATTAAATCCTGTGTTAGTGCAGAAAGGTCAACAAAAGAAGTATTGATAAATAGAGTGTCTCTCATTCGTTTGTGGCGAAAGGTATATATTTTAATCACTTTTTGTAATTATTTGTGTATCTTCTTCACCATATTAAAGATTGAAAACATTCTGACAAAGACTTTTGAAAAATATATACAAATTTAGGTGGTAAATTGACTCAAAAAAATATTGAGCACATTTGCCTATAATCGTTGAAATGTGGACTTAATCTTTTATGTCAATTGAATAAAAAAGAATTTATTGTTGAATAATATTGCTTAATACGGTTCAATTGATAAAGTCTATAAAAGACAATGTTTGAAGAAGTATTGTTGTCATTTTCTATATTCTCATTATGACCAGTACCCCTAAAAATGGCTGAAAATATGTAGTCGCAGTGTAAAATTATCATTCCAAGTTGCACAGGCTGTACTACATTTAATTACAAGGAAACATACCATATATTTTTATCTGATTGACAAGCGAGTGCTAATTTATCATTTTGAAAAGTTTGAAAATCTTGTGACAAAGACTTTTCCGACATAGGTTCTACCTTAAGTAAAACTTTTTGACCTTATGTTGATTTAATCATTTCAAAAGATTTCAATTACATGTATTAATTTCTAGGCATCCTTAGCTAATGTCTTTACTCATCTATGACTGGTGAGGCTTTACATACTATCACTTGAGTGAAATGTTGCAGGCATTTTATCCAGGTAGCTGCTATCTTAACAACAGTAACAAATATCTACATATCAATCATTTTAATAGTCTGTTCGTTTGTTTGCTTACCCTCCCTACAAGATTATTTCACTCATATTGAGACGCCACCACTTGCCAGTGGAGGACTGCAAATTTAGACCTGCATGTACTCGACACTTATGGCCTTCTGAACAGTGAGGGATCTTTTCCGTGCCAGCAAATACTTGATACGGGACTTCGGTTTATATGGTTTCACCTGAAGGACTGGTCTCCAAGTCCCGCAGTGGGATTTGAACCCGCAATGCAAGGATCAACTCCTTTCCCTGTGATTCTAGAGCAAAGCTCTAACCACTGCACCATAAGGGCGACTTTGATCAGTCCCAGATTCTGGATAAATGCAGCTGTATGTAAGAAGACAATAACATTGGATTTCAAGTTACAAATTCATATTTTAATGAGTTTACAGTGCAAGTACTTCCTATTTCAGTCCAATTGTAAAATTCTGCGAAGTTATTACACTGTCATGAATATTGGAAAAGAACAGGAAAAATATAACAATGCCATAATGACACAGATACATATTCTGTCCATTATCTATGGATATTTTGCTACAACAATTTACGTGAAATTTTACAAACACTTTTTGAATGCTACATAGAAACTTGTTAAGCAGACATATGCCACTTCCAATTAATACATCTGATGCATAAATTTATTTTACTGAATGCAAGTTCAAAGATGGAGAAGCAATGTACTATAATCATCTCAGACTCTTATTTTTTCTAAATATAAAGAAAACAGCTTATAGATAGAATGTTGTTGTGGAATCATTGTTTCCATGGATAACATTTATTGGGTAACTAGTCTCCTCCAAATCCTGGGCCACTGGTATTGGCATATCTGGTTCCACACCTCTGCTCGATCTTTCAACCTTCTTGAACATTCATGAGCTGGAATACGATGGTCTTTACTATAATAGATGGCACTGATCTTCTAAGCAAGAACTGAAGTACTTTTTCTGATTTATTTCCAATTAATGATCCATAATCTGAAATTGTGTGTTCATTTTCATATAATGAAAGGAATAAAAAATGAAATGAATGAATTTCCAACATACTCACTTTATAACTAATAATGGTACAACTATTATCAAAAATAAATGTATACATTAATTTATATAGATTGAATTAGATGAATGCAATTATATAAGCTTGATGAGCAAATTTTCTAAAACACAACCTAAGCAATGCTAAGATTAAATAGTCATGCATAATCTGGATCTCTTTTTATTTAAAAAATGAGATACTAATAAAAATAGAACTTCATTTACAGAAAGTATTTCCAGGCCCTCATTAAAACCATTCAATCTAAATTAAAACTATCCACATGGTCTTAGGAACTGGGGGGGGGGGAGGGGGGAGGGGGAGGCATCCCCCCCTAATTTTGCTGATATATAGAACACTATACACTATAGAAAACATTGCTAAATATATGCTTGTGCCACCTAAATAATAACGTCTGATGACCTTCCATTTTTGCTTGCCAAGGAATTTTAATATTATTGGTAGTGTGCCCCCCCAAACTGAAAATGGGTTTCGTTGCCCCCCCCCCCCCCCCCCCCAGCTGAAATTGCTTCTTACGGGCCTGATTCAGACTATACTAATGTACATATCACTTGGTGAGGAAAAAATAAATACAAACTGTACTTTAGAAAAGCTCACCTGTATTATGTCATAATTCCAACCTGTGCCAGCTGTCTCTATAAGACCCCATCAAAGGTTACTTCAAACTTAAAAAAAAGTAATGAAAATAATAAAATTAAAAAAAAGAATACTTATATTTACATGTACCAACTGACCATGTATCTATTTTGAGAGGACCAAAATTTACCATGTCAGAGTAGGACAATCAACTCAGTAAATCATAATCAATACTGGAACATATATAGCCAGTGCATATAAGTAAAAATAGGAAAAGTATTGAAAATGTCTTGATACTGAGTCCCAGACTTTATAGCTTTATAATTTACATTCCACATGTATTTTGCTTTAAAGTGTAAGGAAAGCTATGGCATTCAACACACCATAACACGGACAGGGGGTCAAAAGTTAAAGTATGCGTTTTATTTCTACGTCACAAACGTTGAGCACCATGGAAATGCAACGTCATAAGCGAAAATCAAAATTCACGCTCACATTGAACAGAAGGCTGTTGCAACGGCTCTTCCATTCATTGTAACTTACCCGAAGGATAATACAGGGTTTTTGAAATATAAATCACATTTGCAATCAAGGCAAGGAGTTAAAAAATGTAAAAATAAGCATGCACTGAATCATTATTTTTTGAAAGATATAGTCTCATAACTGCAACGGTGTGTGCCAACATATTTTCATAACGCGCTAATGCGCGTTACTCAATAAGTTGGCACACACCGTTGCAGTTATGAGACTATATCTTTCAAAAAATAATGATTCAATGCTTAAAAATCCCCTCTTTTGAACCTACTTTTAAATCCTCTTTGAGATTAATAAATTAAAGTTTATGATAAAATTCATATTAAAATCTATCTAGGGAGAAAATCCATGTGCAACATATAAACTAGTATGTTTTGACTAAGAGTTAGAACATTTATTTGTTTACTGCATTCAAGATTGATACTTTTTAAATGGATTTTGGCTTCAGATCTTTTTCAGTGAGAACTAATTTGCATTGAAAAATAATGTGTCAATCAATAATTCAAACAATTTCATAAAAAATAACTGATGAAAATGCATTCCTGATTGTATTAAAAAAATAGAGATGGAGAGAAAGAAAGAGAGACAGAGATTTTAAAAAGTTGGATGAAAACTTTTTCTGCATTGCGGGATTAAAGTCACATGCACCTTATCCGATATTCCCTGAACATGTCACAATATAAACAGATAAAAGCAGGGTTTACAGTCAGAGGAAACTCGGATTAACATGTACCCTGATCTGTTCATTCATTCCTGTTTATATCCGTTTAGGTCATTGACAAAGTTCTGTAATCCGTAGTTGTAATACGCGATTATGAACTACAAATACTTAATATTAACAGTTAAATAATTACCTGTCTGATGCAACTAATATATCAAGCTGTCAAATACTCCATGACTTCTCTTCCCTGTTCGGAGTGCATACTGCATACACCACTCAGAGTGTAACATATGGAACGCCGGGACTGTCTTATATGAGGATTAAACATTATATGCAGAGTTCTCTTCATTATATGTGGTACTATTTTAATTATATGAAGTAGTTTTTACTGTATATCGTGTGCAACTTCCATTATATACAGTACTTCTTTCATTATATGATGTAGATGTGTCATTATATTATGTACATCTATCATTATATGAGGTGTTTTTATCATTATATGAAGTGCTTTTAACATTATATGCGGTAGATGTAACATTATATGCAGTGAACACAACAATATATTATGTACTTCTCACATTATATACAGTATATTCATCATTATATGTAGTATTTCTGTTATTATGATGATGCTGATCGTTAAATATTATGTCCGTACAAGTGTACGTCAAAGTTATCTACTATGCTGTCAAAGAAAGCATTTCTGATATGACTAATGAGAGGGCACCCCAACACAGCATGCTGAAATAGATTATCATACATATTTTGATATAAACTACAGATTTGTACCGTAGACGAAGGTGGGATAGTCCAGAGTTTGGCGAGAAAATTGATGTATGGAACATCATCGAACGAAAGGGTAAATTTCCAAATTTTGATAGGTTTAACGCTATTATGAAGGATTCTAAACATTCTGAAGTCGGGATCTGCTTCTGTGTGGATTTTCCAAGCCTCAGTGTGAAAGTGATGGATAGCCTTTTTAACAATAATTTTCCAAGTTCCTTTCTCGGGAAATTGTCCAGCTGAAGGTACTGTATTAAATTGTATTTCATCAATATTTCGAACAAATCCTTCATAAAATCAGAAAAATGTTTCTTGTTGTTCTGTAAGAAGTCATATAATCTTGCCAAGAAGATGCTTTCTGTTAGAGTGTTAATGTCTAATTTACACAGTTTCCCAAAGAATAATAGTTTTCGCTTGTCTATTTCTGAGATAATGGGATGTACCCCAAGCGTACTTTCGCACATATCTGATCTGGTAGAAATTTTAAGGTCCTGAATATCTTTTATCACAAAATGCTGAAATTTGTTTAGGAGATGTAAATCCGTTTGTTTTAAATCGTTCCATAGCTCGCACCCAAATAAAACAGTAGGTAACACAATTTTCCTGTATAGACTAACAAGGGTTAAAGGGTTGGTATTATTGGACAGATCATTACGTATCGCAAAGTATGCTTTTCTACCCTTGTTGCAGCTATTTGTTGTTCGGCCACTGGATTTAAATCGACAATGTTGGATGATTCCCAAATGTTTATAGCTGTCACTCGACTGGGTGTTTTCACCACCTAGTTTCCAAACTTGCTGTGTTGTGGGCTTGTCCTTACCATAAACAACAATACATGATTTTTGCTCATTAAATGAAAAGCGCCATAAACAAGAATACTTATATGCAATGTCCAAAATTTTTGTAACCCGTTCGGGCTTAAACTTAAGCATGCTACATCATCAGCTAAGGCTGGGTTTGTGGATGTTACATTATATACACCGAAATTTTTATTTACACACTCTAATGAATTCAATAAATCATTAATAAAAACACATTATGAAAAGCCAGACAGTACACCTCACTGTCGTACACCCTGTTTTATTTCAAACCATTGGGATATGTGCCCATTAACAGCTACTAAGCTTTCGTTGTCACAGTGACAGTCATCTATAATTTCCCATACTTTACCCTTTAAACCCAATTTACGCAGTTTTACCATAAGACTTTTTCTGCAAACTGTATCGTATGCCTTTTTACAATCTAAAAATGCAGTGTATACAGTGCTGCCATGATCATTGAAATGCCCAATTGTTTCTTGTAAGTTAAAACCTGCCGTAATGCAGCTCAGATCCCTCTGAAATCCCTGTTGTTGGGGGTTTGGAAATCTGATTTTACTGAGACTAATTTCTGTTATTCTATTATATAATATTTTTTCAAATAGTTTTAACAAACACGACAGTAGAGACACCGGTCGGTAGCCATCTCGAGAGTTTTTTGCATTGTTATCCCCCTTGTAAATAGGAACTACGATGCTCCTTTTCCATTCTTTAGGACTCCGTCCGACCTTCATGATACCATTAAATAGTCTGCAGAGTTGATGCGTAACTGCGACACCGCCATATTTTAGATGTTCTGCTTGAATGCCATCCACACCAGGCGCCTTGCGCAATTTGAGGGCATTAGTAGCTTGAGATATTTCTGATTCCGAGATTTCGAACTCAAGACGTACATCATTTTCATTATCATATTGATATTTCCATATTCTGTATCCACTTGTGTTTTGTTTTCATCTTCACTATGGGGAGTGTAAATGTCGAAGAAATATGCTGCAAAAACATCAGCTACTACTTAGTGTAGTTGCAGTTATTCCTTTGTATATTATCTCTGGATAAATCTTATCGCCTCGGGGTTTTTGTCTGCTTATCAGTTTCCAAAATAGTCGTGTATCACACCCAGCTGCTTGGTCAATGTCAGTATAAGTGCTTTTGATATACTGTTCGAAAGCAAATGTCTGGCATTTCCGAAAATGCCTTTTGGCACGTTTATAGTTGAAATACGCTTGATAATGCATCCCTCTAGGTCTTCCTTCCTCAATCCAAATGTTTCTCATCCTCCTTTCCTGCGCATGGGCCTCTTTCACTTCTTTTACTATGGGGGTTAAATTTAGATCTAGGAATAACAGTATCTGCACTTGAAATTAGGCATATAACAAGGTATCCATAGAATTCATTTATTTCTGAAAGAGTTTCTGGTACCTTATTTCCTATCTCTAGCTGACGACAAACTTCAGTTTGGTAAGACAGTATAGAATCGTTAGAAATTTTGTGCCAAGCTGGTGATTTGCTTTTAATATCAGTAAGTTGGTGTTGGTTGCTCTGTATATTAAATACTGTTATAATGGGGAGGTGGTCAGACGTACTCGAGAATGCCCCTTCATCAAGGATTTCATACGATCTGAGACACATGTACATATATGCATCTGAAAATATATAGTCTAACATGGTCTGGGTAACCGTAAATGTGTATTTTAACTCTTGTTTGTATGCCACCCAACAAAAAATTAAGGTTATTTCGCCTTACGAAATTCCTTAGTACTTTTGATTTGTAAAAATTACAACGTCCATCATCTATTTCTAAGCAACTAGCATTAAAGTCACCAGCTAATATAACATGCCCATACCTTGAGTAGTAATCGTAAAAATCCTGTAATTTTGAAAGTTCATCTCTGTACATGTCCACTGAATTATACGTCGGTGACTGCAACGGATTTATGTTGGATATCAATTATTTATTCTTTAATTTTAAAAACTTTTTAGAAGGAATGTCTTGAATTCTACTTTATGATAAATGTCGGAGATGAAAACTAAAAAATGTCGGAAATGAAAAGTTGAATATTTTTAAAAATTCCGGAAATGAAAAGCAGCCGTAATTATAACAAGACAGGTCTTAATGACACATTATTGTCATTAAACAATTTCCTACTCTTTAAATTTGATAATCAAAAAAAAAAAAAATGAATTGCTTCTTGGCTAAACCATAGAGGGGTTGAACAAAATTTAAGATAATCATTTAATTTGCATTAATTCTATGTGTAGTTATGATTATAAAATAAACTAATATTATTATAAATGAGCCAATACATGTATATCAAATTCATTTTTAAAAAGGAATTAAACAAGTTTAAGACTTTGGAAATCAAAGAGACAAAGATGTTTTTGAAAAATGAATGAATAAAAAAAGAAAATAGAAAAATGAAACAAAAAGAACTGTAAAACGTGACCGTGATCGAAATATTTTCGTATTATCATGTTTTATATGTAAAGTAATTGAAATGTAATTGAAAAGTAATTGAAATTACATTGTATTTTTTCAGTGTAATTAATTAAATTTTAATAACAAGTAATTGAATAAATTGCCAATCACAAATTACTTCCAATTACTTGGAAAAATGTAATAAATGTTTTGGCTGCATCAAGACCCACTATAACATGTTTTGTCGTAAGTTAGATCCCACATAGCAAGATTTAAACAAGTCGCTTGATCACGATGCACTTGTCGATGTGACGTCGTTTTGTAAAACTTGATGCAGTTTGTATGCATTGAGAGGTAAAGTACTTTAATTCTTTGAAAATCTTCTTCACTGCTCCTGGCTATTAAACAGACTTACTTTGTATATAATTATGATGAGCAAGAATGCTTCTTCCAAAATTGTGAAATTCATGGCCCCTGGGTCAGGGGTTCTGGTGTTAATGCGGGGCTCTATTGATTATATAGTGAAATTGCATTATATTTTTTTGAAAATCTTCTCTGCACCTAGGTATTAAGCAGATAAACCAAGTACATAGTTATGATGAGCAAATAAACTTATTAAATACATATAGTTATGATGAGCAAGGGATCCTTTTTCACCAATTTTTAATTTAATTGCTCCTGGGTCATGGGTTCTGGAGTTTGGCTGGGGCTGTATTGATTAGTGAAAAACATATTAATTCTTTGAAAATATTCTTCTTCATGGTGTTAATTAAAAACTAATTATGAGCATGGTTATAATTAGCAAGGATGCCTCTTCCAAAATTGTGAAATTCATGGCCCCAGGTTCGGGGGTTCTGGTGAAAGGGGTAATTTTTGGAAAATATTATTTTCTCCTCCTGGTTATAAAGCAAAGAAACTAAGTGTATAGTTATAATGGGCAAGAGTGCTTCTTCCAAAATTGTGAGTTTCATGACCCCTGGGTCAAATACTCTGGTGTAAGCTTAAGGGTGGGGCTTTTTTGATAATTATAGTAGAAAATGCATTAATTCTATTAAATAATCATGTCTGCTCCTGGTTATTGAGCAAATTAACGAAGTGCACAGGTTTGATGTGCAAAGTTGCTTCTTAGCAATTTTTTAAAACTTGTGGTCCAAGGGTCAAGGGTTCTGTTTTTCCTCGGCGGGATGGGGGAGTGGTGGGGGGGGGGCTCTTTTAATAATATAGTGGAAATGCGTGAATTCTATGAAAATCTTCAACTAATTACATATATGTAGTTATGATGATGAGGGTACTTCTTCCAAATTTGTAAATTTCATGACCCGGGGTTCTGGTGTTAGGGTTGTGTTGAATCTGAAGTGAAAATGCATTATTTTTTTGAAAATCTTCTCTGCTCCTGGGTATATCGGAGGCAAACAGAGTAAAAGTTTTATTAAGCAAGGGTATTTTAACCAGATTTTTAAACATATGGACCATTTGGTCAAGTGTTCTGGTCCTGGCCAGGGCTCTGTTAATTTGTATTCTACTAAAAGAAGCTATTTCCCTGTGCCATTTGCCTTCGTTAATTAATCACTGTAAATAATGTATTTTAAAGTATAATAAAATAACAGAATAATGCAAGATTTTCATTGTATAATACAAAAAGTACTTTCATAGTTTGAATGATCAGGTAGACTTGTAAGTAATAGATAAATAAAAATGAGACAAAATAAGTTATCTTTTTAAATGTTCTTCAAAGGCCAAGAGAGGCCAATGTGGGAGATAATAATATGGGGTTATATAATAGATATCAGTTTATTTTATACCCTATAGATCCTTCAAATTGCTGTCTTGTACTGAGGTTACTGTTAAGGGCCTCTTGTTTCATAACCCACCCTATTTTCCCCTTTCCTTGATTTTCTCCCCTTTGAAGGGGACTTGGCCCTCCATTTTAATAATTTAAAATCCCCTTTACCCACAAATATTCTGTACCAAATTTGGTTAAAAGTAACCCAGTGGTTCTTGAGAAGTTGAAAGAGTGAAAAGTTTACAGACGGACGGACAGACAGACAGCCGGACGGACGGACGCCGGGCAACGGGTGATAAAAAAAACCCACCTGAGCTTTCAGCTCAAATGCGCTAAAAATACCATTTTTGAGGCTTCCCAAGAAACTCAAAAACGATTGCAGTACAATAAACCTTACTGACATCAAGAACTCTTAGAACTATGGAAAAAATTACATTAAAGTGAAAAATATTTCCGTAAAGCCATAAGACAAATGTGTAGGCAAGATCCAGATTTTAGTTTTGATAAAAGAGTCGGATTTCAGTAGAGAAAATACAGCCGTGATTTAGCCTTAAACATTTAAACACTTTTAAATACAGAGAATCCAAGTGCCTTCTGGAAAGAGTTAGAAAAAATACGACAGAAAAGAAAATTTTTATTGTTTAACTTAGCATTCCGATGGAATTTGTGAATGATGACGGAACTATTCTATATGATGAGGACAAAATCTTACAAAATTTTACAACAGATGTTGGATTTAATACCTTTGAAAAAATTGTTCAATTTTGTATGCTTCCTATTTTAGATTATTGTTCGGGGCTTTTGGGATTCAAAACATATCACTCTTTGGAAGTTGCACAGACTCATGCTATTCGATACTTTTAGGACTACATAGGACTACATAGCAATCGCATTGAACAGTGAAGTTGGATGGTAAGCACCGACACAGAGACACTAAATGTGCATGATCAGAAGATGGAATACATTGATCCAAATGGATGACGACCGTCTTACATGTACCAAAAACTTTTCATCTGGAGCTATCAAAATAACAGAACATGGTGTTCACAAATGAAAGAAGCTCTATATAAATTAGACATGTGCTCTCATTATGACTAGCTTTTTATTTGTGATATAAATCGAACCAAATGTAAATTGTGCAAACTTTGCGAAGGAGATCTGAAATCGAAAATATCTTCTTTACCTAAATTGAGATATTTGTGACTTTTTAACACTAATTTCGAACTGGAACCTTACGTAACAATGAGTATGAACAAATAAGAACGCTCTGTAATGGCGTACTTTAAGTGTGGTATCCTTCCCTTTCGGACAGAGACAGGCCGATATCAGAATGATTCCCTATAAAAACTTTATCATGTTTTATGCCAAAAAAAAAAAACAAAAAAAAAAAAAACACCGGATCGGTAGAGGATAAAATATTATTTTTTCCATTGCAAAGTTTTCGAAAACATCCGAAAAACTTAATTTTTGAATAATTTTAATCTAAATAGAAATGTAGATATACCTGATTATCTAAACATTGTAATGATAAATAATGAGAGACAAACTACCAAATTCTTAAATTTATTCTTTTCAGTAAGACAGAAACATTTGTACTTCATTTAGAATTAGTTCGAAAATTGACTTATCTCCTGAGTTGGTTGAATACTTATAATGAGACTGAGGTAGTGTATCGCTATAAGCAGAGTTGGCTGATAAATCACATACAAGAGTTTACTTGTGTTAAATTACAAATCTATCCTTTACACATGCGATATTTTATAAAGTTATTATCAATACCTTTAGCATCTTCTTTATTTTCTAAGTTTGTTCAGTTCAAATCAACGTTCTCATCTGCATTTCCTTTCCGTTCCCATAATGTCATTCACTATATTGTCTGTATTTTAGTCCAATGCATTGCTTTAACCTCCATCCATGTTTTAATTTAGGAAATTTTCATCCCAATTCTCCATCCAAAACAATCATTGTCAAATAACTTCAAAAACTTTCATTAAAGAAGATGAGCGAACAAGGCGAGCGAAATGCCTATACTGCGACAAACATGAAAGTGAAAAAAATAAATCTTAATAATAACAAAGTATTCTTTGATATTTCATCTAACTTTAAGTATACTTTATGTAAAATATCCACTAAAGAGGGCAAAAGGATCATTTTCTCATTAACACAATTTTTCGATATGAGTGGGTCTTCCCTCCATTTTTTGAAAGTTTATTCTCAAAGTTTGCGTAAAAATATACATTTATTGGTTAACAAAAACATGGAGCAAAGACCCACCATAACTTAAAAATACATTTTTATGGCACAGCATTTGCATCTTTCCGAGAAATACTTCAAGTCCATTTAGTCAAGGGCCATATCACAAACATGATTTAAATGCCACTATTCGTTAGGAGTTGTGTAGCTTAGTGATTAGCGTGTTCGTCAAAAAGATTTTTTTTAAAAAAAAAAAAAGAAAAAAAAAGCGTCTTCGTCTCGGAAAATATTACTCAGGATTTTTATTGCAAGGGTTCGAACCCCACGAATATCATATAATTATTTTTTAATAACAGAATAATTTTTGCCGAGAAAATTTTCCTCAAAAAATAAATTTCAATAAGGAAAACTTTACTCTAAATACTAAATTCACAAATTGAATATGATTTTTATATATCTGAAGCTATAGGCATTCTGCACGCATTGTTCACCCATCTCTTTATGTTTCTTATTAAAGAATTCTTTAGCAGTTTTAAATCAAGTCTACATTCTTGACAAAATTGCTTTAATGGTCATTAGCCTTTTTTGTCAATTATTAAAATATAGGACTGCCCCAGGTAAAATCATCAAATGAAATTTAATGGACAATGTTTTAATTAAGCTTCATAATCCCCCGGTTCACTTATGTAAAATGCTGTTTTAACGGTTATGATTTTCAATACGAAATATTATCTTACATGTATAAGTAAATTGCAAACAATTTTAGTATATTTGGTCAAAAAAGACATTTAAACTTGACATTTATGAAGAAATAATAGATTTTTATGGCATTGAGTTATCTCTCTTCTCAGAGTATCAATGAACCTATGCCTATCCCTAACGGGCCTCAAATTGATATTTTTTTATACAGAAATGTATGTATTCGGCATATGTCCATTACGTTTGAAAGACAAATAGAAGAAACCCTTTATATGTTTGCAACGATCTCTCTCTGTAGTTATACAACAGTCTAGTTTCCTCTGTTAACAAATTGTGAGGCTGAAAATTATGACGTAAAAAGGTCTACATTATTAGGAATTTATTCAAGTACCAAGATATGTATGATTTCTTTTATTATCATTATGTTAAATGTTTTTCATCTTTATCTTTCAGTTAATTCCAAAAAGCTTAGTTTCCTGAAAAAGAAGAGAACGTTTTCTGCGTCTAAGAAATCTGAGTGGACTAAACTCTTTGAAACTTTTTCTGAAATTTGCAGAAAATAAGGCATATAAAATTGGATTGAAAGCACTGTTTGAGTATAAAATCAAAAAGGAAATAGGCGAAAAAATTCCGGCATTGAGGACTGATCTTATTCCCCACCATTTTAACAGAAGGCGTATATGATGCGGAAGAACACACAGAGCAAACAGAACAACAACAGCAACGAGAAGTCTGATCACTTTACGGCGACTTCGCACAGCTTTAATGGTGCGTAATCGTGACGGATCGGGAGTGACAATCTTAGCTGTATTCGTAGATTCACTTCTCGATATAAAAGATGTAACTCTTAAAAAGTGATTTCGCGGATTGTACTGGGCACTCTCTGGTTGACAGTTATCTCGTCTTTTGATAGAAAAGCCTCGACCGCTTTTGATGGACATAGGCTCATTTTGGACCAAATCACAGTCTGCGTTTTGCAGACTTCTCATTTTCAACAGCTGAGATCCCATACCCGAGCTCTGGGAGCTGCTTGTGAATCCGTACTCGTCTGGTTGCTTGCTTACAGTCTTAGACGAAGTGAATCTGTAAACAGAGCTTGTCCTCCACAAAATCTTACCAATGCAGTAATAAATGATCATCATTATTAACAGAGGTATGGTGTACCATGCAATGAAATTGGCCGTTGTGTAGATCTTCATGTTTATCAGCTTGTTTCTATAGAAACAATATTCCAGAACTTGTCCATCAATATCTTTAGTTGAAAATGTGTCCAATATAAGAAGATAGGGCGTGCTGTAGGTGGCTGCAATAACCCAGATTACCACTTGAGTCAGGATAAGTCTTCGTGATGTAAAACACCCTCGAGCTTTCAGAGGAAACCTAATGGCAATATATCTTTCAATGGCTATGGCCGTCAGAATCAGAATAGAGACCGTGTAGCTCAAATTCCACATAAAGTAGTAAACCTTGCACATAATCTGTATAAAATGAACAAAAAAATATGAAAATATCTTAGAATTAGTCTTAATTACAGGTGAAATATTGAAATTTTAGTCCATTCTCTTTTAAAGTTAGTAGTTTTGGGACCCTCCATATACAACCATTATAACATACAACAGGGGGAAAACAGGTAACATTACCCTTTTGATTTAAATCAAGTACCAATAGCAAAACTACACATATCTTATCAAGGCGTATTACTTTATAAATACAATGACATAAATAAGCTATGTCATCCAATAAAAAAGTATTTGATCGCAAAAATGATAAGAATGAAATCCAGGAATCCACTTACAAATTACTAGAATAGTAATGAATTACAGTGGCTGCAACGTTATTGTTGACAAACCAGTCGTGTAGAATCGTTCGTGTAACGTGCGTGATCGTTCGTGTAACGTGCGAGATCGTGCGTGTATCAGACTCAATCGTTTGCGGTTTTAATCGTGCGCGATCGTGCGTTAAGAAACGTGTAAATTTCGTTTTGTAAATTTTTATCGGAATGTTATTTGTTATACAAGCATTTCGCTTGTCTGGTTTTTTTCAATCCAAATAGAATTTATATATTAATTGAAAGCAGAACGAACTAATTATTGCTTGGAAATAAGCAATATAGTAAGTCGTACAATATTGTGTTTTCGCCAAATAGCGTGATTTTTTTAAAATGATAAACCGTACTTAGATGTTTTAAGGATTTTTTCTCTGATGTTAATTATGTTTACTGCTAATTATGGTCAAGATATTTTTAAAATCAATAGATCAAAATTAAATAATTTTACAAATAAATAAATAAACAATTCTCAATGCTTACATAAATATTTAGTCGGCGAATGTATATGTACACGACCTGATTGTCGGGGTTTCGTTTATCAGTGTTTATCTCTGGAGCTTACTTTTAATTATTTTTATAATTTCTGCAAATAATTGATTTGTAAAATAATTGCTGATTTTAGAGATTCACAAATGGAAACATGGATATAACTTATAATTTAATTCATTTTCAAGCCATTTTCTTTTTCCAAACTTATCCCCTTCTGCCTATTATGAAATCCAATTCAATCAAAACTCACGGTCTACCTACGTGTACATCTTCTGATAGAACGAACAAAAAAAATCAATTTTCTTAAATCGGAGAATTACATAAAAAATAATTTGTAATGTAAAATAATTATTAAGCCTTACATGTATTTAGTTCCAGAAATATCCATTTCTATTTTTTTTTTTTTAATTTTTCAAAGATGATGAAATAATATCATTAATTATTTGAAATCTAAAATATTAAGTATTTAGCCTATTTCGTTTTGAAAATTTCCATTCCTAAAGAATTTGAACTATTTTGCGAGAAGAATCCTGCGTTTGCGTTAACAATCGTGTAAGATCGTGTAACGTGTAGAATCGTGTGCGTGAAGGATCGTTCGTGTAAATATACATTATTATAACAGTAACTTGATTCGTCTCGTTTGATCTGATGATCCGCGCCTGTTAACTCGACGTGATACGGCTCTTCGGATCAAGTTACTGTTGTAATGATAAATTTATTATATACCCCCCTTACAACTAGCAAAATATAGTTTAAAAAAAAAACTTTTGAGATCAATGATATAAGATTTTTCCATTAAACAAAGCATATTGTCAAGGAACTGTTTGATGCGCATGAAAAATAACGTCATGTTTCTGTGTACTACGTCATCAATTTCAGAGAGGGGTGATATGGATTCAGAAAACCAGAGCGTGGTGATCCGGAAAGTCGGATCACACCGTCACGTGATTGTACGAAATCTACAGTAAAATTGAGTGATACACACTTGGGTATATAATAACAGATTTTATCGTGCGTTAATCGCGAGGAATCGTTCGTGTAACGTGATCGTTCTTGTAAGTTGTCAACAATAACGTTGCAGCCACTGTACCATGCTCAAGACAGATTGATTAGATAATTTTTAAAGCAATATGAACAATACCCTCTGATAAAACATGTGGATTTGATATTTGTAATTGACGAAATTCTTTTGAAATCTAGATTAAAGACTATTTTTTTTAAAACCAGAAAATTGTCGAGACTGTAGCTCTACTGGTTTGTACTTATAACAAAGGAAGAGAAAAGTAGCACTTTGACTTGAAACTTTGCAACAGCAATGAATAGAATAATGTTCCTTGATTCAGTCTCTTTTTGTGGCAAGATTGCATTCAGACTAAAACTGTAGGAAGAGTAGTCTTTTAAAAGAATTTTACAGAAATTTCGATTTTAGTTACCATGGCAACAAGATTCATAAAATCAAAAAACGATGTATCTCATTGAAATCTACTTGCATGCCACATTACAATAAAATCAGACCAAACTGAATGAGAAGTAGCATTTTGAAAGTATGTCACAGAAATTTCTATTTTTAGTAACCATGGCAACGCCATTCTTCGATATCAAAAAACCAATATACAAAATTATTATACTCTACTAGTGTGCCAAGTTATATTGAAATCTGACAAAAACTGTAAAAGGAGTAGCATTTTGAAAGAATTTCACAGATATTTCTATTTTTAGTAACCATAGCAACATCGTTCATTGAAATCAAAAACCGATACACAGAATTATTTATCTTAGTGTAGTCTATTAGTGTGCCAAGTGATACTGAAATCAGACCAAAACTGCAGGAGGAGTAGCGATTTGAAAGTATTTCACAGAAAAGTCTATTTTTAGTAACCATGGCAACAACGTTCATCGAAATCAAAAACTGATACATAGAATTATGTACCTTAGTGTAGTCTATTAGTGTGCCAAGTGATACTGAAATCAGACCAAAACTGCAGGAGGAGTAGCGATTTGAAAGTATTTCACAGAAAAGTCTATTTTTAGTAACCATGGCAACAACGTTCATCGAAATCAAACTGATACACAGAACTATGTACCTTTATGTACCTTAGTGTAGTCTACTTGTGTGCCAAGTTATACTGAAATCAGACCAAAATTGTAGGAGGAGTAGCATTTTGAAAAATTGTTTACGGACAGACAGACGAACAGACAACTAGACAGACGGACGGACGACGGACACCTTACTATCGCATAAGCTCCAGTAGAGCTAAAATGAAGTAATGTATTAACGATTACTAATACAGTTGAACTCAGGTATCCAGAACACCGAAATCTCGAATACCATGGATATGTCGAAGTGATTTAGAAGTTCCAACTCCATATTCTTTAAGTATTTTACCATGGATATCTCTAATCCTCGGATATCTCGAAGTTTTTTCTCGGTCTCATTGAGTTTGAGATAACGAAGTTTGACTGTATTTGAAATACTAGTAAGTATTTTGTGAAATGTATTAAGAGCGGACTCAGCCAAGGTGGGGATAAGTTGGGGGTCTTGACCCCCAATCCTTTAATTATTATTTATGTTACATAGTAAAGAGGCTGCAAATAATTTTGGACTCCCTCTCCAGGAAAAGTGAAGTAACCGTATATAGATGAAGTGAAGACAGTTTTCCTCTGTGAAAGCTCACCCCTTCCCCTCCAAATTGTAGTTGCTTAAAGATTCACAGAAAAAAAAAGTCTTCTGACTTTTTACACTAACATTTCTCAAAGAATGAAACTGTCAGGAAGAAAGAAGCTTCAAAAAATTATGTATAAAACGAAAAAGAAACTGATGTTTTCTTATTTAAGAATAAAAGAAATCGAAGAGAAATACATTACCCTGATTTTAAATTAAAAGGAATGCATATACTTTTTCTGGTTAAATCGTTAGATTTCCTCTACAGTAACCATGTTCTTAATGTTACAAGACTGCATGCTATAGAGACATACCCTTCCCAAGATCCAGGTCTGAGACAGGAATGTTGAAAGGGTCGGCAGCACACAAAAAACACCCACACTGAAGTCAGCGATTGCCAAATTAGCTAGGAAAAAGTTCGTCAAACTTCGTAACCGAGCGGTCCTTACAATCGCAGTCAGCACCATCAGATTACCTGGAAGTATGCAGTCAAACTTCTTGTTACAAGATCCTGCAAGCACCTAAAATAATTCTTATCAAATGACAAATGGCCGCCCTTTCAGTATTGATCAAGTTTGATTATTGTCTGCTTCGTCAAAATAGCCAATTACAAGAAGTTTGAATGCTAGCTTGCACTTTATTACACATGTAAAATATGTGAAATAATTTGGATATCATTTTGTCGCTGAATGATCGCGATTGTGGATGAAAGAGCTAGGTTTCCTGAAAAATTCTGCTTTTGAAAAGTGCATTTTTATTTGATAATTTGTACATAGAATATCTCTTGTTTGGAAAACTATTATAAATCAAACATTTTTGTCAACTTCCTAACTATGGCTTACAGGGGTGTAACTCTCAATCCACAACAAATAGGATCATTCGCAAAAAATTGCCTTTAGCGGCAGTAAAATATAATGCGCGTTCATTGAAAATACATACACCTGTGAATATCTAAAGTGTTTGCATGATAACAATGAGTACTAAATCCTCTTCCAAACTTGTTAATCAAGTGTCCCCCGAGTTAAGGTCCTAGGTAGGGTAAGTTTGTCATACAATAAAACATGGTTACGGCAAAAACGCTTATAAGTAATTCACACTAATAGTGAATTGATTTTCAATCCCTATTGTTTTAAATATATGATGAAATTAACGAATCTAATGAACTACGTTTATAAGGTATCAAAACTGGTCGTCCCTGGAACCTCACTATTATAAGCGTGTTTAATATATCCAAGAGCGTCTGAAAATTCTACTGGATCTTCTACATAAAATGCACGATATCTTTTAATTCTTTTTCTTTACTCATAGGCAAACTGTTTTCATGATTAGAATTAATGCTTTATATTCTTCTAACAAAATTGTAAAATTCATGGCTCTAGCATACATGATTCAGACTCCAGAATGGATAAGAGTTGGCCATATATTAAAATACTAGTATATAAAACACGACAGAAAATCTTTACTCGTGGACATTAAGTATAAGCAAACTGTGTGCATGATTATAATAAATAGCCCTTATGTCCTCCGGATCCATTTGAATGCAGGTCCCAGACCTGGAGCTCTGTTGGCCATGTTTTAAAAATGTATTTTATAGTACAGTGAACCTTTGAAACTCCTAGCTAGTCCTAGCTAACAAATAGATGTTTAAGATATTTATCCTTTATCAAATTTGTGAAATGTGTGCCTTAAGAGGTAAGGTCTGAATGTGCGGCTAACTTATTATCATATATCTGAAATGCACTTTATCTTAAAAAATCTCTTACCTCTAATCATATAGGACTCGCTTTGCAAAAATTATTTTAATATAAAGATCAACCACTAGCAAATGTAAAGTCGTGTCTTGTGTGTTCAAGTTCCAGGTGAAGCTTAGTTTGTCATATCAGTCTAAAGGGCTTCTATGTTATCCTCGTTATAATAAAAAATAGCTCGAAAATCATGAGTGCTCAACACCTTCCATAAAAAAAAACGACACAAAAATCACGAATGCTGAATATCCTCTATGAAAATCGTTGCATATCCTCAAGGTCATTGCACACCCTTTACCCAAAGGCACTCTGTGGGTGAAGTATGAACCAGATTGGGCCAAGGAGAGAGAAGATATGCTCCGGACAAGGATTTAAACAGCGAGGCTATTTTTGAAATTGACCCTTGACCTAAAAACTTCCTTCAAGGTCACTGCACATCCATTGACCAGTGGCACTATGTGAGTGAAGTATGAGCCACATTGGACAAAGAAGAGAGAAGATATGCTCCGGACAAGGATTTTTCATATAATTCTGCTATGACCTTGACCTTAGACCTAGAAACATGGTTCAAGGTCACTGCACACCCTTTACCCAAAGACACTCTGTGGGTGAAGTATGAGCCAGATTGGGCCAAGGAGAGAGAAGATATGCTCCGGACAAGAGATCTCGGACGGACGGACGGACGGACAGACTAATCACTATAGGACACCCGCAGAGCGGGGCCCTAATAATCAGTTGTGTCTTTGTGTGTGTGTGTGTAGAGAGAGGATAAAAGTATGAAATCTGTTACAATTAAGGCAAAATAAAATTAAATCTGTTACCTGTAATTTTTCATATTCATTGTAAAGCCTTTTGACATTCAAATTCATGACTGTACAGACAATATCATTTCAAACTGGTCAAAGATAGTTACAGAATCAATTCTTCTAACCTCAACCAAAAGATTAATAAGAAAGGTATAAAATAAATTCAATTTCGAGGCTTATCTAAAAATTTTAAATTAAAAAGGTGCCCTGCAGATTTAGAACGTGTAATCATTATCTATAGATTGAAAGTAAACTCTATTTCAGGAGAAAACAGACTTTGCAGGAATGTAATTAACAAAAAAGGTGACACTTTCTGATTTATTTCAAATTGGTGAAACCGGAGGACACCATATATATTTCGGCGACAATGAATGTAGCTTGTTAAAATGGGTAGTAAAAACATAATTTCTCTCCAACATCTCAATGATTTTAACCTGTCTCCTCCTGTCTTGATTTTCTTACAATCTCTCAAGGAACGAATTTGTAGTTAGTTGAAAAATACACTTAAATGTAATACTAAACTGATATTTTTTCGTATGTATTGAAAAGACATTTATTACTACATAGTAAGTAATATATATAGAATACGGGGATGGGACGCGACTGAACCAAAGAAAAAGAATCTTAACGAGCCAAAAAAAGGTCTTCAGACTTCATTAATGAGAGACATAACCATAATTTTGATTTGATTATATTATGTAGTACATGTATATAGTGGCAAAGTTATTACAAAAAAAGGGGGGGGGGGGTACTGGCCTCCATGTCTCACCCAGTTATAACTGGCCTCATGTAATGCTATTGATTTTGACGACTTGAACTTGGGCAGTTTAGTAGCGATCAAGTTGGGTAAGGTGAAAAAAAACATTCCAGATTTTTCAGAGTTATTAAATTGTATATAATATAGTAAGTATATAAGAAATAAACTTGCCATCCCTCCACTTTGAGAAACACGGACGCTCGTAAGCTGGTCGAGGAGAATTCTAAAGCCCATCAATAACCCCCCCCCCCCCCCCCCGATCTATCAATGTGTTTTTCACGGCTGTAGAGAGTTGGGATTTTTGTCAAAAAAAAAAAAAATTCCGAGTCGGAGTAAAAGTAAAAGGCTGACAAACCCGTAGAACGTTGGGGTCAGGGGGCCGCCTTCCACTTTTTTCTGAGTAAAGTATTTTTATATGGTAAATTTTCATTTAGAAACTGGTTGTAACCTCCCACCCCACCCCGACTTTTTGTCGCTGTTAGGTCGAGAATTTGGACAGTTAAGGACTTTTTTTTTTGCTTGTCAGACTTTTTTTTGAAACTTTTGCTACGGGCCTGGCTGAATATTTATCTTACCTTTGGGAATTTATTGGTATGTTCCCCTCCCCGTTCTACACAGAATCCTTGGTTCACTATTGGCATTTAAACACATTCCCAAGCTCCCATGAAAAATAAATCAAACTAGCTTACTTCATAAATTCTTATTTTTTCCACCATTGTTACATATAATATACAAACATAATATCCATATACGATTTATGTCATGGACTTGTTAATTCCAGGGTATAATATACAAACATAATATCCATATACGATTTATGTCATGGACTTGTTAATTCCAGGGTATAATATACAAACATAATATCCATATACGATTTATGTCATGGACTTGTTAATTCCAGGGTATAATATACAAACATAATATCCATATACGATTTATGTCATGGACTTGTTACTTCCAGGATATTGGGGGGGGGGGGCACAAACTCTTTTAACTTTTCGTGCAGGTTACAGATTGATATACTACAGGGGAAAATCAGTAATCATATCCTCAGTGTATAATATGTGTTAATTTTCAAATCGGGATCGAGATCCCTCCGATTCAGATTCGTTTTATATTCATTTCAGATTCGGATTCGTTTCATATTCAGAAACATCTCTAGTAGCAGACCTGATTCTGTATTCATATGAAGCAGATTCAAAAACTTCTACATAAAAAAGTCTCTTGCTGGGGCCTTCAATTCGACATTTAGATACTGTAGATTACTAAAGGAGATGGGTGAGGAAAGCGTGCCGAATGCCTATAGCTTCGGATATGTCAAAATCATATTTAATTTGTGAATTTAGTATTTAGAGTAAAGTTCTCATTATTGAAATTTACGAAATTATGATATATAAAACTTTTCTGAGGAAAATTTTCTCGGCAAAAATTATTCTGTTATTAAAAAATCATGTGATATTCGTGGGGTTTGAACCCTAGCAATAAAAATCCTGAGTTTCATTTTCCCTTGAGACTAACGCGCTAACCACTACGCTACACAGCTCCTGATGAATAGTGGCATTTAAATCATGTTTGTGATATGACCTTCAACTAAATGGACTTAAGTATTTTTCGGAAAGGTGCGAATTTTGTGTCATAAAAGTGTCATTTTAAGGTATAGTGGGTCTTTGCTCCAGGTTTCTGTTAACCAAAAAATGTATATTTTTATGCAAACTTTGAGGATAAACTTTCATAGAAATGGAGCGAAGACCCACTCATATCGAAAAATAGTTATATAGTATGAAAAAATGATCCTTTTTTCCTCTTAAGTGTGTGTATGCCATTTCATTGGCATATAATTTCTATCTTTGTGAGATTTTTGCAAATGGTGGAGATTTTACATAACGTATACTTTAATGTTAGATAAAATATCAAAGAAAATTTTGTTATAATTGAGTTTTAATTTTTCACTTTCATGTTTGTCGCAGTATAAGCACTTCGCTCGCCTTGTTCGCCCATCTTCTTTTCACGACACCCTATTTTGGCGAGATTTTTGTTTGGTATTTATAAGCGAAACAAAATTTTCACGAATTGTGGTTATTGCTTCGTGTAATCTTTAGGTCGAATGTTGATTGACGTTTTTCATTCAAACTGTTAGGCCATTATTTTCTCAGTGAATCCTC